GCCGAAGAGTGAACTCAGAATTGGTGGTTAATAAGGCTTTAGATCGACTTCGGGGGCTAAGAGCTAGGGATGTATCTTTGCAACAGAGGACAGTGGTGGTTAATACACTTGTTTATAGTAAAGTATAGGGTGTGGCTGAGGTGTACCCTTTAAGAGATGTGGATATTCAGGAACTGCAGAGAAAGGTCTTACGTTATGTCTGGGGTTTCGGGAGGGCTCGGTTAAGCAGGGAGGTTGTCATGACCCATGTTCGCCGTGGGGGGGTTTTGGTCTCGCTTTGGGGCCACGGGTGAAGGCCTCTATGTTAAGCAGCGGTTCCTCAGGGCGGGCGGTGAGAAGGGCATCTGGGTGGGTCGGGTAATGATCGACATGCGTAAATGGTGGAGCGGCAGGGGATTAATCGAGTGTGAGGACATGCTTCGTTTGTTATTAACGTTGAGAAATGCGAAAATGGTTTCGGGTTTAGGGCAAATGGTCAGCATATGTTGTCCGTAGGGAAATTTGTCAGGGATTGTCTTTTTTTTCCGCTGTATAATTGGGGGAAATATGGGACGGTTTTTTGCAAACTTAAGTTGGCACCAAGGGTCGTAAATTTGGGGTTACGGTTTGTCATGGGGATTTTAGCATCAAAATCGGTCTTAATAGGAGGGGTTTTGGTAAGGGAGGCGGATTGCTTACGTTGCGGTCTTGAAGAAACACTGTTTTCATGCAGTCTACTTTTTTTGATACCTTGGACGAAGTTCATTTCGTGGTTGGGGGGGATTTTAGATTTTCTTAGTGGGGGAACTATCTCAACCTTACGAGCCTAACATTAGACGTTAGCGGAGTATAAAGTGAGGTACGAAGAGCAATAATGTACGGGGTGGCTGATTTCTTTATATATCATGGGTATTCGGGAAACCGGGAGAACAGTTGGGATAGGGCAATTGCGGCAGGTATCTACAGAACGTATTGCAGAAATAAACTCATATAGGGTAGAAGTTGGATAATAGTTTTCCTGCAAACTATCGAAGTCTTACTGTTCAAAGGTTGCTGCAACTGGGGTGGGGTAAGGCAACAGGGGGTGGACTCCCCCCCGTGGTAGCCCCAAAGGGTTTGGGTTCGGGACTTCAGGGTAGAGGGCGGGTTTTGGGGAGTGACGTGTATGTATTATGAATGGTTCCGTGCGTCTGTGTGTGTATGGTTGTGGCGTTGTGTGGAACTGAGATCTTGGATTAATCCTAATATGGTCATGCATCTTGATAATACAGATAAAAAGCAATATTTCAGTACATGTTCCAGCCTCTGCAAGGCTGAACCGGTTCCCGACTACGGCCGGGGCTTGGTGAAGTATGCTGGGTCTTTCCTGGGATTCCCGTTAGGTTTTGTTTAGTTATTTGTAAGCAGAAGCCTCGCTGATATCACCGCTAAAAGTACATGTTATACTGCCCTTTAAGGGGAATGTTCATAAGCAGACCTTTGGTGATAGTTGTAAACTTTTGATGAAGGGCAAAAGTTTCATTGGCCTAAGTTTTGTTTGAAGGTAGTAGGGGGTCACCTATGTGAGGGGGGGGTTGAATGTATAATGTCCTATATTGTAATCTTTGGGCATTTAATTTCCCTTGGGCAGCAGCTTTTGTGGGATTATTGTTCTGACACCCAGTGATATCACATGTATTTTTTTTATCATTATGGTGCATATAGTCAGCTGATGTTCAATTAAGCCCCTTACTAATATCACTGTATACAAGTAAGGTAATTTATTGGGGGTTTATAATTAGTTTGAGAAACTAAATATGGGGTTGGTCGGGGTTTAGGTGTTTAGTATTTCCTTGTATGTAATCATACATGTTAGATCTGTAAAAGTCTTATGTTAATTATTAAAGGCTTTTTGTATATTTTGATTCCTTTTTCAATACATGCAAAAACCAGAAAAAAGAAAACACCATGTTTCAATTTTCAAGTCCATGTAATTTTCCGATAGTTATTTTATATAACCATAGTACCATTGAGTGTACAATATATTAGTTTCTATGATATTGTTTTTGTATATAAATTTTTATATATCCATAGTACCATTGAATGTGCAATGCATTAGTTTATATAACATTCATTTGTATATAAAATTTCATACACAGTATGAATAAGACTGTCAGGTTTGGTTATATATTTATTTGGTGTTTAAGGTATGTTCCGGTAGTTCTTTGTTTAGTTACATTAATTGTTGTTGTCTTACATAAAGTTTTCACGGTTCTTGTTTTAAAATCAATTATGTATAACATACATGTATACTGTGTTTTTTAAATAAAAATATAAAAAAAATAACTCCAGCAATATCACCTTCCCCCTACAATAACTCCAGCAATATCACCTTCCCTCTACAATAACTCCAGCAATATCACCTTCCCCCTACAATAACTCCAGCAATATCACCTTCCCCTACAATAACTCCAGCAATATCACCTCCCTCTACAATAACCCAGCAATATCACCTCCCCCCCCACAATAACCCAGCAATTCACCTTCCCCCCTACAATTACTCCAGCAATATCACCTTCCCCCACAATAAACTCAGTAATATCACCTTCCCCCCTACAATAACTCCAGCAATATCACCTTCCCCCTACAATAACCCAGCAATATCACCTCCCTCTACAATAACTCCGCAAAATCACCTTCCCCCTACAATAACTCCAGCAATATCACCTTCCCTCTACAATAACTCAGCAATATCACCTTCCCCCCCACAATAACTCCAGCAATATCACCTTCCCCCCTACAATAACTCCAGCAATATCACCTTCCCCCCTACAATAACTCCACAATATCACTTCCCCCCTACAATAACTCCAGCAATATCACCTTCCCTCACAATAACTCCAGCAATATCACCTTCCCCCTACAATAACTCCGCAATATCACCTTCCCCCTACAATAACTCCCGCAATATCACCTTCCCCCCTACAATAACTCCAGCAATATCCCCCTTCCCCCCTACAAAAACTCCAGCAATATCACCTTCCCCTACAATAACTCCCGCAATATCACCTTCCCCCTACAAAACTCCAGCAATATCACCTTCCCCCTAAATAAACTCCAGCAAAATCACCTTCCCCCCTACAATAACTCCAGCAATATCACCTTCCCCCCTACAATAACTCCACAATATCACCTTCCCCCTACAATATCTCCAGCAATATCACCTTCCCCCTACAATAACTCCAGCAATATCACCTTCCCCCCTACAATAACTCCAGCAATATCACCTTCCCCCTACAATAACTCCAGCAATATCACCTCCCCCTACAATAACCCAGCAATATCACCTTCCCCCCTACAATAACTCCAGCAATATCACCTTCCCCCCTACAATAACTCCAGCAATATCACCTTCCCCCTACAATAACTCCAGCAATATCACCTTCCCCCCTACAATAACTCCAGCAATTTTTCACCTTCCCCCTACAATAACTCCCGCATATCACCCTTCCCCCCCACAATAACTCCGCAATATCACCTTCCCCCCTACAATAACTCCAGCAATATCACCTTCCCCCTACAATAACTCCAGCAATATCACCTTCCCCCTACAATAACTCCAGCAATATCACCTTCCCCCTACAATAACTCCAGCAATATCACCTTCCCCCTACAATAACTCCAGCTATAACCTTCCCCCCTACAATAACTCCAGCAATATCACCTTCCCCCTAACAATAACTCCACAATAAACACCTTCCCCCTACAATAACTCCAGCAATATCACCTTCCCCCTACAATAACTCCAGCAATATCACCTTCCCCCTACAAAACTCCAGCAATACACCTTCCCCCTACAATAAATCCACCCAATATCACCTTCCCCCCACAATAACTCCAGCAATATCACCTTTTCCCCCTACAATAACTCCAGCAATATCACCTTCCCCCTACAATAACTCCAGCAATATCACCTTCCCCCTACAATAACTCCCGCAATATCACCTTCCCCTACAATAACTCCAGCAATATCACCTTCCCCCTACAATAACTCCAGCAATATCACCTTCCCCCTACAATAACTCCAGCAATATCCACCTTCCCCCTACAATAACTCCAGCAATTTTCACCCTTCCCCTACATAACTCCACAATATCACCTTCCCTCTACAATAACTCCAGCAATATCACCTTCCCCCCACAATAACTCCAGCAATATCACCTTCCCTCTACAATAACTCCAGCAATATCACCTTCCCCCTACATAACTCCAGCAATATCACCTTCCCCTACAATAAACTCCAGCCAATATCACCTTCCCCCTACAATAACTCCCGCAATATCACCTCCCTCTACAATAACTCCAGCAATATCACCTTCCCCCTACAATAACTCCAGCAATATCACCTTCCCCCTACAATAACTCCAGCAATATCACCTTCCCTCTACAATAACTCCAGCAATATCACCTTCCCCCTACAATAACTCCAGCAATATCACTTCCCTCTACAATAACTCCAGCAATATCACCTTCCCCCACAATACTCCAGCAAAATCACCTTTCCCCCCACAATAACTCCACAATACACCTTCCCTACAATAACTCCAGCAATATCACCTTCCCCCTACATTTAAATCCAGCAATATCACCTTCCCCCTACAATAACTCCAGCAATATCACCTTCCCTACAATAACTCCAGCAATATCACCTTCCCCCTACAATAACTCCAGCAATATCACCTTCCCTCTACAATAACTCCAGCAATATCACCTTCCCTCTACAATAACTCCAGCAATATCACCTTCCCCCTACAATAACTCCAGCATATCACTTCCCTCTACAATAACTCCGCAATATCACCTTCCACCTAAAAATAATTGTATGTTAAACACTCCTCGGTTATCTGCAAACTCTCAACAATCTTCTAGGTTTTACGTTGTATTAATAACTGGTAAGAGAGGTTGGGTTTAGGCAATAAACTAGGAAAATGGTGTCAACTTGCTGGTGTAGACAGCCACGCACACAACACACGTCAACACACCCAAGTCATTCTCAGCCTTGACCCACAAAAGAGGCAAATCTCCCTCAATTCTTGGGTAGTGGGCACTACATGGTGTTGAGTGGGCAGGAAGGTAGATGGTAGTGAGGTACTGACGAGTGTATGGAGGTAGTGAGGGTATATATGAAGGTGACAGCTGAGCCAGCAATCACAACACTACAACAACACTGCCACCTGCTGAACACTTACAATACTACATTATGATTTTTTTTTTATTATGTCGGTTCATTGTACAAGTTTAGATTTTTTACAACTTTTTATGTGGTGATGTATGTGTGTATTGACCCAGGATAACTCAGTAAATTAAAATAATTTGAGTTATATGACACAGGGCATATGTTAGGGTCCTCTAAAAATTTCGACTTTGTTCTCATATATAATAATCTAAAAATATGGGTATGGGATGCATTATAAACATATTAAAGTAACTCCATAAATATGTTATTAACTCCATGAGTGTCAATTATGGGATGGTTGTCAGAAGCCAGACACAAGTATGGTATGACTGGTGTAGTGTACATATGACTCTTCTTAACTCTGTAAGAAATTCTACTTAATAGTCTATGTCTAAATCTTCAGTAACTTTTAAACATTATATTTAGTCTGCACGACATGTATTGCATAGTAGTAGCTTTCTTTTGTGCCTACTAATGTTTTATTACAAGCAAACTACATTATTTTGAACCGCATAAAAAAAATAAAAAAAAAAATGTATTTGTGGATTCCATCTCACATTGGTGTTGAGATGCCTGATAGAACTGATGAATTAGCAAAGACATGTCTGCAAGGAGGGGGTAAATTACAATTTTGGGCTACCCAGTTTGAGAGCAACTGTGTGAAAATAACTTCATTGACTTGAGACAGAGGAAGACTGACACCATTCTGTCCATCTATCATTATATCATGTATGAGGAGCCATATATGTATATTGCATCAAAGTTAGCATCCAGCTCTGGCTGGGTTGGCAATATATCTGGCAGGTTCTATCATCACTACCAGTTCATGTGCTTATAACTAAAATGTAAACTTTACCAGATGAACAATTATCACTCGTTGCGTCATTATGTGCTGGAATGCGATCAAATTCATCAGTAAAATATTTGGGAATCCCCTTTGACCCATGCATGTCAGGAGAATTGATGGGGAACAGTGTAGTAAAGAAAGCGAATGCCTGTATAGACAAGCACAGTGTCTACCTACTGAGGCTCGCAGGACCCTATGTCTAGCCCTTATACAATGCCATATGGATTACGCTTGCTCTTCTTGGTACTCTGCCTTGACAAAAAAACTGAAAGATAGACTGCAAATCACCCAGAACAAAATCGTAAGATTCATCCTGGGGCTGGGACCAAGAGAACATGTAGGCCAGGATGAATTACAGCAGTTGGATATGCTGAATGTTGAAGACAGAGTAAAACAACTGAAGCTAAATCATGTTTATAAAATTGCTCACAATGTCCAGAATATCTTGCTGTCAATTTTGTCAAGGTTGGGAACCAAAGCAATCATAGTACTAGGGGGAGAGAGCACAACTTTGTAGTACCCACAGTCAGTGGCCAGGCTTCAAACACCTTTTATTGTACAGCAATGAAGGAATGGAACAGAGTGCCTGCACATGTCAAAGCCAGTCATAGCATAAACCAGTTCAAGAAGAGTGCCAAAAGGTGCCTGATGAATGTAACTACAGAAAGGGAGGGAAATTATTTTTTTTTTAGCAAACACGTGTAATTTCACCTTATTCCTAGTAATAACCCTCGTATTGTAGATAGTTTTAATGACTCTCGTGTAGTAGATAGTCTTTTTAGTATGATAATAAGATGTTATCTTCATTGTAGAATAATAAGAAAATATTATAACCTTCATATTATAATAATAAGGTAAAAGGACCCCAATGGAAATAAGTCACCCTGTCTGACTTTTTTGGGTTATCCCAGGTTCTCTACACATATGCTGCTATGTATGTTAATTCTATGTAACTGTATTTGTGTATACCTGAATAAACTTACTTACTTACTTACTTAAATTAATGAATTAAGAGACAATTCACTTAAAGATGTTCAAGACATGTCAAAATATTTTATCCAGAGTGGTATCTTGCCAACCATTTAGTAAAAATACACTGACTACCCACTGCCTTCCAGCACACATAAGGGGGATTACCAACAGACCCCTGGCAGTCTTCAAGCTGGCACTGGACAAGCACCTAAAGTCAGTTCCGGATCAGCCGGGCTGTGGCTCGTATGTTGGTTTGCGTGCAGCCAGCAGCAACAGCCTGGTTGATCAGGCTCTGATCCACCAGGAGGCCTGGTCTCAGACCGGGCCGCGGGGGCGTTGACCCCCGGAACTCTCTCCAGGTAAACTCCAGGTATAAATAACGCATTACCACTTAGATTAAGCTTACCCTTAATTTAAATCAGATATAAGGTGCTCTGTAATATATTTGTGAATCTATGTCTGAATAAATAACCCATTACGAATTGGAACTAGATATAAACATGTAAATAGTTTATTACCATCAGTGTAAATTAATTTTTTTTATATATTTTTATTTAAAAAACACAGTATGCATGTATGTTATACATAATTGACTTAAAACACAGTATACATGTGTGGTATACAAAATTGATTTTAAACCAAGAACCGTGAAAACTTTATGTAAAGCAACAACAATATATATAACTAAACAAAGAACTACCGGAACATACCTTAAACACCAAATAAATATATAACCAAACCTGACAGTCTTATTCATATTGTGTATGAAATTTTATATACAAAATAATGTCCTATAAACTAATGCATTGCGCATTCATTGGTACTATGTATACATAAAAATTTTATATACAAAAACAATATCATATAAACTAATACATTACACACTCACTAGTACTATGGTTATAAGTAAGTAAGTAAGTAAGTAAGTAAGTTTATTCAGGTATACACAAATACAGTTACATAGAATTATCATACATAGCAGCATATGTGTAGAGAACCTAGGATAACACAAAAAAGTCAGACAGAGTGACTTATTTCCATTGGGGTCCTTTACTATCAGAAACCCACATGACTCTTGAACTTGAAACATGGTGTTAAGGCTCGTAAGGTTGAGATAGTTCCCCCACTAAGAAACTCGAAAACCCGCCCCACCCACGAACGAACTTCGTCCAAAGTATCACAAAAGTAGACAGCATGAAGGGGTAATCAGCATCTACTCAGCGCGAACGAAAAATTGTCGAAAAAAAATTCACAAATTGAGTTAATCTTATAGAAAAATAGCTTAACTCTCTGGCAACACAATGGTACCAGAATCATTGTTCTACGACATTCCTACAAGGAATTATGGTCATTTAAAACACCTAGGGTTACGTCACCACCCGCGGCAGGTGTGCTCACCTGTCGTCAATTTTTTTTTTCCGTTTTTTTTCGTGTATTTATTGTATTATTTTTTCTAAGATAATAATTGACGATTTGGCATCATAATACAGTGGGTGGGACTTATACGTAGAGTTCCAACCAACCAGGAACCTCCCGACACCATTTTGCTGACGTCATGGAAAATTCCAGTCTCGGGGTGGCCGGGGAATATGGCTCAATATAACGCTATTATAGCTTCTACGGCTTATTTATCTATCACAATTGATCTAATATGACATAATAAACAATATAAATAACAAATAAATATGGTAAATACTCCAGAATGAATACTATATGGCATATTCTCAGAGCGCTCCATCGGGAATAATAGATTCCCATTCTCAGAGAGGGGCTTCCATTCTCTTTCTTTCACCTCCAGGGTCCTTATATTAAAGAAAACGAACATTGGTAACTATGATATACACTCGTAATGCAGTATAAGACTGAGAAAAATGTTATTTTCTCGAAAAAAAAAAAATCGGTGGTCCGGCTGTTTCGCGGATTATCTCGGAAGTAAGTTATTCACATATATGAGCCACGAAATTCGTTAATAATAGCAGGAATGTAATGAAATTCACAGAGAACATAAAGGAAAGATTGTTTTACAAGCTAATGGTTTGCTTTTTGAGATATCATAATTTGTTTTTTATTTTTGTGAGGGCAAAAGTCAGATATTTGGCTGAAAGTCAAAACCATACAAAATTTATTTTTTTTAAGAATGAAGAAAGGATAAATTACAGAAAGGCTAAACACTAGAAATACAGTTTAGCATTGTTTTATGCTTAGATAATGCCAAAACAGCTTCTCCAAGTCCCATTACGAAGTTACTGTTCAATATGTATGATTATTAGTAAATCATTTTTTTCTCAGTTGTTTTTTGAGTTATCTTATTGAAACTTGGTCACATTACTATTGAAAGGTGCTTCTTTACGTACAAAAAAAAATGAAAGAAATCGAACGAAAAATAAAAAAGTTCATGTGTTGACGTTAGATGTCCCCTGAAAAGCTGTTTCTTCGAGACCGCAACGTAAGCAATCCGCCTCCCTTACCAAACCCATCCTATTTAAGACCGATTTTGATGCTAAAATCCCCATGACAAATCTGTAGACCAATTCACGAACCCGACTCAAGAAATCGTAATGACACGATTGCAAAGCAATCGTGTCATTACGATTTCTTGAGTCATGTTGACGGCAGTGAAGGGACTTGAGCTAGAGTTCGTCACGGCCACGCTAGCTGGAGATTCGTCTGTATTATTATTATTATTATAATCAAAAAGAAGCGCTAAGCCACAAGGACTATACAGCGCTGCAGGGCAGGAAGGAAGCGAGGGCATCAGGTGGCAAAAGGGAGATGGATGAGCAACATGTTACGGATAACAGCGGGGCAGTGGATGGTGAAAGGGTAAAGGGCAGCAAGAGACTGAACCAGAAAGGGCTGAGGGGAGTGCGAAAAGTATCATCAGAGTTTGTGGAGTAATCAGTCGTTGTCAAGAATTCCAATGAAGAGTCCTGATTAAAGGAGGGTCCCATCAGCACGAAGGGAAGGTAAAGAGAGAGAGGAGAACGAAGAACGACGTTTGGAGGTAAATTCCTTCTGCGTGCCGTTGATAGAGAGGGCAAGTCCTAACAGAAATGTGGATAATCGATACTGGAACTTGACACTGCTGCTCACAGAGTGGAACAGGGTGCCTCTCCATAGATAACCCATAGTAAACAGTGTGGCCTAATTCTAAGGCGGGAGAGAGAGGTGGTCTCCCCAAC